TTTCTTTGTGCTTGTTGCAGATATATGTATATATATATATATATATAATATAATATATATACATGTAATTTTCCTGTTTTTCCGTGCTCCTGATTGTGATAAGTGCCATATAGTGTACAAGAAATACACATCATACGTTAATGTCACTTAAACGATGTCTAGTTTTTACTAAATAAAGCCTAATATTTCGGGTTACAAATAACTCTCATTCATTTCAATTTATTTAGTTAAATGGATAAGTACTTCCGTCTTCAAACATCGACAATGCCATTACCTGGATACACAGGAAGAAAACATTCCAAACCTTTCTCTCGGCTGTGCAGACGGGCGACAAAGCTTGCAGCGACCGACGATACGAAATACCAACTGTTAGTAAACCATCTATCTCCAAACGTTTACTGCTACATATGTGACGTGAAATATGATAGTGCAATTGCGAAACTAGATTCGCTCTTTGTTAAACCATCAAATGAAGTTTATTCACGGTACAAACTCATTAAAAGACAACAACAGCCAGGTGAAACGATTGACAAGTACATTCAAGAGCGTAAATTACTAGCAAAAGACTGCTCTTTCAAAACCGTGTCTGCTCAGCAAAACGAGAGTGAATATGTGAGAGACGCATTTGTAGCAGGTCCGTCATCAGCTGCCATACGCCAGAGACTTCTGGAAAATACTTCTTTAAGCCTTGATGATGCACACCGGCAGGCTCGCTCACTCAAAATGGCGCAGACTAACAACGAATATTACCAACAATCATCTACTAGCACATTCATTAACGCTGTTTCTGTGCCCAAACAATCTTTGCCTTCATGGTAACTAACCCTGGACAAGTCTTGCTTAAGAACCACCACAGAAAGAGCAAGTACGATCCCATTGTGGAGGATGTAGAGCTGCTAGAAGCGAACCCGCAAAACTCACGTGTCTGGTTCCTTAATGGGAGAGAAGCGATAGTGGCAAACCGCCATTTAGCCCCAGGTGGAATCAGACTCCCGGAAATAGATAACGAAGATGAGGAGGAATGGGAAGAAGTTCAGGAACAACCTAGTGCCAATGAAAGCCCGACGGAACCGTCCCCGGAGAACACTCAGCTGCGACGCTCCGCTAGGCAGTGCCATCCCCCCGCTCACCTGAATGACTACGTCTGCAGAACGTCGCCGGAGAGAAAGTGATAAGTGCCATATAGTGTATTTATAAGAAATACAGATCATACTTTAATGTCACTCAAACTATGTCTAGTTTTTAACTAAATAAAACTTAATATTTCGGGTTACAAATAGCTATAATTCATTTCAATACGCGACACGTCTGTCCATTGCAGTTGCAGTGCCACTTTTTGCTCTAAATCGCAAAAGACTGAAGGGCACTGCCAACTGCGCCCGTCACCCTGAGACGTACTCTTCACCAGTACTCTTATCTCGGCGGCAGTACTTCTCTGCACGAACTCTTTTACGAGGTGCTCTACTGCTATGTCCTCGTAAGCGAGGACAAACGTTGTGCGCCACACGGGCGTAAATGCAATTACAAACGTTCGGGCCAGTAAAACCGTCGCTTTCGTCTCAGTGACACAAAGTACTGCATCCATCTTTTTAAATTCTTCAACATTTACAAGGTTATGGTTATTCCAGGTTCGAACTGGCAGAGGAGAAACCCTTCGCTGGGCGGTTTGTGTGCCCAGTGCCTGCAATGCCGAGGCAGTTGAGACTTTCGTCAGTGACGTGTTGGCCAACACTGTGGGAAATGCAATCCCTACCGGAGTACTCGTAACCGAAAAAGATTGTTATACGAGACGACCGCTTACAGTTACTAATTTGGATGTGGGATATTTGTAAGTATGAGTATAATATAATACATATACACTCACCAGCGCATTTAGCGGAACACGAAAAAATTAGAATACATAATTATATTTTTTTTATATAAAAGAGACGACCTCATAAGTTTGCTTATCTGTTTTTTATTGGAATTACATATAATTGCCAAGTTTTATTGGAATCAGTTAATGGAAAGTGGGTGAAATTCAGTAAACCGGGCTCAACCTCTATTTTGCCACCCTTAAGGCATTAGCGCACTATATCCGATTCGTATCAGTTCTGAATTCGAGGAATGTCACATGATCCATATATTGTTCCCTCATTTTATCTCTAGGTGCACTAGCGATATTCGTATCGGATTCGAACTTCAGACTTAGTGCATGAACGACATCCGAAATGGGTCCAACTTTTCTAGATTTGTATAGTCTCGGATTCGGAACAAATACGAATCGGATGCACTTAGAGGTGGAATATATTTTTCATATTTTAATGAGATTATAGTATTAAAGTACCTCCCGTCCTAACAAAACAAGAATCATCGATTCGGGTCGTAAATGTTTTCGCGTAACATACACACAAAAAAAAATAGCCAACTGGAGAACCTCTTCTTTTTTAAATCCGTTAAAATAGTGACGTAAATAACTAAGAATTAGAGATAAAGCAGCAATTAAATAAGCATCTTTCTACGTCGACAGTTTTATTCAACTTTTATTGGAACAAATCGGCGTTAAACAAAATACATTTTCATCGAGTTCATAGGTTTTCGCGAGTGTTACACCTTGGAAATTCTTCATCAAGCGCCCATAGTGCAACCGTTGGGCCACCGAGGTCGTCAAGCCATGGTAGTAGCAATACCTATTGTTAACGGTGATAGAAACTTTATAATGAAACCTATGTCGAGGAAGTTTCAAAATTTTTGAAAATGTGTGAAGTCACCAACCCGCATTCGTCCAACAACGTGGTGGACTATGACTCAAACCCTCTTCTTGGACTCCTCTAGCTTTCTCTCAGTCTTAACCCGTGCCAAGTAGTGGGACGTATAATAGGGTGACGATGATGAAAAGACGACTTTATTCAAAATCAGAAAACATGTACACAAAATCGTACCGCGATTATTCAATCGCTTTATTTCACGCACCAATTCAAATGACTATTTGATAAGCCCCAGTCTTACAAAAGCTATGGTAATGACGCCATTTCCTCAACGCCCTTTATAGCGATTGCAGTCTTTATTTATAGAACCATAAATAAGCATTTGCTTTAAGCATTTTAAAAATATTCTTTATCAACAGACTTACTCTAAAGGGATCAAACCGTGTGCATAACAAAAACCGAAAATAAGCCGGAGGTACGTTATTCGAAAATCGTATTTGTGGAACGAGAGAAAATGGATCGGTATCACTAAATTATTTACGCCTGAGCGATACGGCGGCGGAGTAATAATGAAAGAGGGGATCTTCTCATATGCAATCAATCATTATATGTCCAAAGTTGCCGGTAGGTGTGATCGCTCCGTTGTTCGATCGCACGAGTGTATCTTTTGATACTTCTGATAAGCACATTTTTGGATCAGAAGTACCTGAACAAGTTTGAATCAACTGGGTTTCGTATGATGATCATGACTTCGAGAAATGTAATTTGGTTGTTGAGTTATCAAGAGCAATGGTGTTTATTTTGAACAGTCCCATATCTTCTACAAAGCCTTTTGATTTTAGTGCCCCATCCTATACCAACCTTTTGGTTATATGGAAGGGGCACTATTACATGTACAAGTAAACTTGCTCAGGGACCTTATCAATTTGATCCTGACCCCAATCAGTCCGTCAACACAAGACTTGATCCGGTTCTCAAAAGGCTTGTGCCTTGGATGAGCGCCCCCTGGTGCACGTACAGCACTCTCCCATTTAACCAGATAGGTATCGGAGCTTCTTGGCTCGCTCACCTCCCATTGTGCATTGTATAATAGCGGTTGTCACAGCTTCATTTTGAACAGAAAATATATTTAAATTTTTACTTAATTCATATTTAATTATTTTGTATTAGAAATTATCAATTATCTTTTATAGAAATTTAGATCTAAATTTCTCATAAATGGCGCTACGCCAAAAAAGTCGTTGAAAAACCAAATAAAACGAAAAAAACCGAAATAAAATAAAACAAAATAAAACCAAATAAAAAACGACAACAAACACATAGAAAAATTTGTGAGGTCTACTGGTTCGTTCCGTGCCTTAGTAGGTACAGCGTCTGGCACGGTATGCTAGAAGACGTCGGTTCGAGTCCGACCGGATCGAAGGATTTTTTTCTGAGTGTTCGATCTTTGTATTAATAATTACAAAATATATTTTTAGCAGTAGAGTTTTTTGTGAAACAATTCGCCCAGGGTAGTACAGCCACCTATTTCTGCCGCCAAGTTATAACATGAGTATTACTGCGTACCGGTTTTAGCCCATTTCTGCACAAAATCGTGGACAGTAACGGCAAATACGGACTTTTGTATAATTCCAGACTAATTACAAATTCAGCATTACTGCGTTCCAGTTTTTAAGGGTAAAGCCAGGCACATGGGACTTGTCAATGTTGAGTCCTAAGGTGAAAGACGCTGTGGCCACGCTTCTCACAACTTACGCTATACCAACTAAGCCACGGAACGAACCAACGGAGCTCACGAATTTTTCTATGTGCTTGTGTCGTGTCTTTGTACTTGGTCTTACAACGACTTTTTAGTCGTAGCGCCATCTATGAGAAATCTATGACAGATTTATCACTCAGTTAGTACCTTTACAGCTACCAGTCCTGGCGAGAGATGTCGCTATTCACTGTATTAATTAAATTTTTATTGAATTGATATTCAATTATTTTTTGTGAAATTACTCCACTAGTTTGTTATAATTATTAATACAAACATTGACTTACAATTATATGGACGTCGGGTCCGCGCTAGAAAGTGTCCGCACTTGTAAGGCGCTAAAATCGTATACAGTGCGCCAAACTCCGCTTTAGTCTTCATTTGTTCTACTGACAGCGCGATACTGCGATGACATTACAATTTAAATTTCGAATAGGTTGACTTGGGACATTTTTTTCGTGGTTTTTGTATTAGACCCGTCGTCCATTTATTTGTAAGTCAATGAATACAAAGATCGAACACTCAGAAAATCCTCTCAGAAAAAAATCCCTTCGATCCGATAGGATTCGAATCGACGTCTTCTTGCATACCGTGCCAGACGCTATATGTATATATAATAATAATAACACACACACTCAACATAGCCCCGAACTAGGGAAACCCTGTGTCGCGGGTGCCATGGACACATACATAGACAACCACAAATTACACCCAAACTCACGAGAGAAATAAATGTAGGCCATACAAATATTTCTCCCGACCCGGGAATCGAACCTGGGACCTACGCGTGGCAGTCCGGCATGGTAACCGTTCGGCCACAGAGGCAGTTAAACAAACAAACTAGTGGAGTAATTTCACACAAAATAATAGAATATCAATTCAATAAAAATTTAATTAGAATAAATAATAGAATAAAATAATAGAATAAAATCTAAATGATAGAAGTAATATATTGTTTTTTCAAAAGAAATATTTATTTTTTATTTGTTTTTAAGTTTATATTTAAAAGGTACATTTTGTGTTTTTTTTTTATTTTAAATAAATAATATTTTATTCAAGTATTACTTTAATTTAATTAGTCCACTTAAAACCGTTCAAAATTTTAAAAGGACGTCTTAATATAGTGCCGTTGTCCTACATATAGGACATAGTAAAAATCCGGTTTTCCCGAAAAAAAATTTTTTTCAATATTTTCCCATACTTTTTAAAATATTAACAACAATCCCTGAAAGTTTCATAAAATATTCTAAAAAAAAGTCTCTGAGTACGCAGGAGGCTAATAAAAACCTTAAAACAGGACTTAAATATAAATAATACAGTAATCTCAATGACTGCATTAAAAAAAGATTTATAGAAGAAATTGAAATGAAAGTTCATTTTCTTCAAAAATCATGATGCGACCGTGGAAATTTGAAATGTCGTAAGGGTCATTTTGTCATAAGGGAAATTGTCCTTTACGACCAAATTTCAACCGTAGGTAGTTTGTATATTGTATAGTCATGGCAATATTTTAAATTTGTATTTTTTGTAATTGACCTATCTAAAGGCAGTGTACTGTGTGGTCTTGGTGAATAAATATTTGAATTTGGTTTGAAGATTTGGATTTGACAATGTCTTTAAAATAACAGTACTGATTCATCTTAATGCTATATATTATTTTACCCAATTCAGTTATCATAAAGGTGCTAAGAGTTCTCAAGATATTTTTTTGGTTACAGATCTCTCATCCTATCATTCATGGCAATTCTCCTATTCAGCACCATTTATGAAGCCTATTCCCTGCGTCGTGGAAACAACAAGAGCTCTGTTATTCACGACTTGGTTATATCTTTCTCTGTTATCAATAATCTGAAGAAGATTCTTTCAACTAGACAGAACAATTCTTTAGGACTGGAATGTGTCACAGGGATCAAAACATTGGCCATGGTCTTTATTATTGCAGGACATGCTTGTCTATTTATAGGCAGTGGACCGGTTATGGATGCTGAAGCTTGGGATCGGGTAAGATGTATTCCTATGTTATTTTTAACCGTCTTCAAGAAAGGAGGTTCTCAATTCGACTGTATTTTTTATAAAAAATATAACAATCTTCTTTAGTAGATCGAAGGAATATTTATGTCTGTCTGTTCTATCTGTGAAGTATTTTCACAAAAAATATATGATTGTCATGGTACTAAAACACCATACTAATCATGATAATATTAAAAAAAAACCCAAATATTTTTATAACTGATTTGATTGTATTGTGTGTTATTAGATAAATGTAAATCTTCTTGATCTCATGTTTAGTTAAACAATGCGCCTCCAATTATTTTAGACACACGCACGTCATTTGAATGTAAATCCACCTGCCATAAGCGTCAAAACACGTAGAGATTGATATGTGGTCTCTACACTGCAAGATGTTGCTTCCCGTAATTTATTAGTTAATTAAACATTGTGCGGTGGTAGTCTAGTTGAAGAGGTGTTGCTTGTCAATTAAGAGAATGCCGGTTCGAATCTACGCGGTGTTATTAATCTGACTTTAATTTCCAAGTTGAATGTTTCGTAAACAAATCTCTCGCTAACGATGAAAACGTTGTGGTGAAACCTGCACGTGTCAAAGAAAGTTTACAAAATTTGGAAGGCGTGACCCTTTTTTATTGTTTACGTGGAAGAAATACTTTATAGCCGGTGAGGCTCGAGGTTTGTGTGGGACTAAACCTCCAGGTTGGAGGTCATACCCATTAAAACCTCCTAGGCTTACCCTCTTGGCCAGGTGTTGTGGGCACTATGGGATATTCACTATTACGGCCGCCCTGGTTTCCACCGGGTTCCCGCGCTAAAGAGGGGAGGGTTGACTCTTTACCAGTGCTCAGCAGTGGTTTGTACAGTGGAAATTAGAATATGTGGTTAAATGTCAAAGAAAATGATCCTTACTGGTCCGTTCGTGCTTTCGTATATGCCTGTTACATCGCTGATACGTTTATTCTATATTACTGTAAAAAAGCGATTTATCAATTTACAGTTGGTACGAGATCCAGCAAATGCGTTCATGCTGAACAACGCTCTCTTGGTTGATACATTCTTAATGTTGAGCGCGTTCCTTTTTTGCCGTCTGCTTCTCATCGAGCTGGATAAACGACGAGGAAAACTTAATGTCATTCCTATTTTACTTTTTAGATATATAAGGTAAGGTATTATATACTACGTTTTTTTTTATGTTACTAAATGATGGGATGAACAAGTCGTGTGTCTGATGTTAAACGACACCCCTGTCGAGCTTCAAATCTCAAAGATCTGAAGTACACTACCACTGCGCTTGTCACTTTGAGATACAAGTCGACAAGTCCCATGTCCCTGTAATTTCATCAGCACTCTTACCCCTCAACATCGAAATGCAGTAATGCTCATATTAATGCTTGCCGGCAGAAATAGGTAAGGTGGCAGCACTTCCCTGGACGAACTCTTTCACAGGGAGCTCTATTGCTATTCAAATGTTGTTTTGTGGCTTTCATAGTGGACGAAAATAACAAAATCAAATCTTACGACAATTCCCGAAATACCGACACTTGAATACATTTAGAAATTTCTTGTCTAGGACCACGGAAGAATAAAACCAATGCCAATGGAACTGCCTTTCGCATTCGCCAGATTTGTACGCACCCTAAGAACTCGATGGTGCTTACAATTAGTATAAAGAATTTAGTAGTAGACCTCTTTGTGAAAGAATTTGTCCAGGGAAGTACTGCTAGGTTATCTATCTATTTCTGCCACCAAGCAGTAATGTAAGCATTACTGTGTCCCGGTTTTGAAGGGTAAGGGTGCTGGTGAAATTACAGGCACTTGACACTTGTCAATGTATCTCTTAGGGTGAAGGGCGCGGTGTCAATGCTCCTCAGATCGGCACTGCAACTGTCATGAACAGGCGTGTCGCTTACCTCGAGGCGCACGGCTTGTTAGTCCTGTCACATTTTCTAAAAAAAAAACTAGAAAAGAGGATGTTTTTATTAAGGCAAAATGCGAAGTACCCGGAACTGTTGAGCATATTTGAAAGAATTCATGCGATTGGAGGCGGCATAGGAAATATGTCGAGCTCTATGCTTACCTACCTCTCTAGAAAAATGACGATGATTATATGCATTTAGAATAATTATTGCTCTATTCTTCTTTTAGGTTAACACCCGCCTACATGATTGTGATATTGTTCTATATGACATGGCTACCAAAGATCGGAGAAGGTCCTCTGTGGGAGAATAGAATGCTTTTGGAACAAGAAAGGTGTCAGGAGTCATGGTGGACGAATATACTGTACATCAACAATTATGTCAATACTGATAAATTGGTGAGTTTTATACAACTTCAATTCAGGTAGACTTTTAATCGATATACATGTCAAGGATAAATTACTTTCAGAAAGTTTTAGATTCTGAAATAATGGCGCTGTATTGATTTTAGGTTATTACGAGGCGATTGTCACGAACGTTATGTTGGTTAGAACTTAATTTCCAAATGTAACAACATAATTAACTAATAATTCATAATTAATTACATTTATATGTTTTAATATTTTTTTATTTATTACCAGCTTTTTTATGTACAATCAAGTACATTGTCTAAATTGTTTGCTGTCGACATTTCATTTCGAATAAAACTTCATCTCGACTGATATTAGAATTGAGGTCCAATAAAATTGTTTTGTTTTTCAGAGATGTTCGAAATTTGAATGTAATAATAACATCGAATTCGATGTTATTATGAAGCAATAATAACATTTTCACAGATAAGAAATTTGTTGTAACGAAACAGTTTACCTTTATGCTGGTCGTAATTTGCGATTTTTGAACACATTATAGAGAGTTTATGATATGTGTGTAGATAAAATTTGTAATAAAGCCAGTGTTCCTGCCGCCTGATCCTAGCAAAATGAACAGTGTTACGGTAGTACGGGAAAAATTTAAATTCGAGCTAAGGTAGCTTCGACTCTTAAATGTCAAGCTAATGATGTTGTACTTGTATTCTATTAACTGATACGTTCTTAATTTGCAGTGTATGTTCCAATCGTGGTACCTCTCAGTGGACACGCAGCTGTTCTTCATAGCGCCAGTTTTCATTTACAGTCTTTGGCGGTGGAGAAAATTGGGTCCTACGCTTCTTGGGCTAGGATTGTTTGTGTCTCTATTGATTCCTTCCATCATCACTTATAAGGACCGATTGGATGCCACCATTTTGTTCTTTGCTAAGTAAGTGTCACATGTATTTTATTTTTGATAAAAAAGAAAAGACTAAACAAATCGTTTTTCATTTGATGCATAATTGCTCTGAGTAATCTACATTAAGGACTTTTATTGCTTGGCAATACTTGGCATTGGTCTCTGCTCATTAAACTGGAGGTGTGAGATTAATGCGTCCAGATTCTCATTTGGTTCCAGGTGGTATTAGGCAAAGTAAGTGGCAGTGCCACTTAGATCTTTGCGATTTAAAGGTCTAGTGGCAATGCAACTGTTATGGACAAGCGTGCAGCTTACAATCAGGCGTACGACTTGTTCGTCCCGTCACTTGATATTATAAAAAAAAGTGACACCACTATCATCCTATTCTTCTTTTTTACATTGCATCCAACTAGTAGGTAATGGTACCTACTGGTTATAAGCACTTCTGCATGATACCTAATCTGTTTCTTTTATTTATTAGTTTTTTTTTTGCCGATGTGCTAATTACATATACCAATTTGTTCTTTGGGAGATATCTACTACTTAATTATAGATATATTATGCAGTATGTATCATTCAAAATAGCAAATTAAAATATTGCGTTGTTTATAATTATCGCCTATTTTATTTAATGATATGTTAAGACAAATAAAAATAAAAGTTGTTATGTTGTTGTATGTTAAGTTGTTTACTGACCGTTCTTATATTCTTTCAAAATTCGAATTCGATATTTTTAAAGGTCAGAAAGAAACATACGGATAGCATTCGGCTGTAGAGCTGTACCATGATAATATAAAGACTATAACGTAAAGAAAGAAAGAGATCGTAGGGATAGAGATCGGTTAATGTAAACTTTTCACTATAAATAATTCATAATTATTGACCTTCCAACAAATGGACGTCGGGTCTAATACAAAAACCACGAAAAATGTCCGAAGTTAACCTATGCAAACGTAGTGACATGTAACGAAATATAAAAAACTAAAACATTTAATTTAAATTGTAACGTCATTGTAGTACTGCCTAATTTAGCTTGCAACAATTTAAAGGGCCCAAAACACCATATTCAGCTTATATTGGAAGCTTAACAAAATGCACCATATTTAGCTTCGACTGAAAATTACTAGAACACAACAGTAATGGAGCAGCCTTTATTGTATACATCAATTAATTTTTATGTATATTATTATGTCAAATTTTGTACAAATTCACTTCAAGAAATAATAAAGAGCTGGGCAGATACATACATACAAATATTACAAATGTGAAAATAAGCGTGTACTATAAGAAATGTACCGATATTCCAACTAAACGTAAACTCAAATATCCGTAATTCCGAAAACCGATTTATAATAAAACAGTTACGTTTTCAAGTAATTTTGATGCTTCTCACAAAGCCAAAATTATCTTTTATGTATAAACACATTTGACATTATGAAAATTAGAGCTAACGTTATTTCCGGCAAATGTATTTTATGACTTCTGATAGGTAATCCCTAGTCGCAAAACGAGTACAACAATATTTTGTTAGTTATTGCTAACATTAGATAAGTCATTCTAAAATATAAGATTAAAATCAAGACGACTCTATAGTTTCTTTGTTCCAAATATTTCAATTGCTTATGGTTCGAATAATTCAAAATGACCAAGAAGTTTATATAAGCTTCTTGAAATTGACGTAATGGGTCTCTTTCCATCTTTTGCGCATGCAATGTGTAGAAAAAGGACAGTTAGCTATTTGATTATTTTGTTTGCTTTTGTAATTTATATTTACGTTTATTTATATATAAATTAAATACTATACAACTATGCAAAATAACACTTTTAAATGATAACTATGATAACACAATATATTTGTTTAGTGAAAATATGATACAGAATCCAGTTTTTACACTTTACTGCAGTAATTTTTACAAGTTATTATTATATGATACTGCATGATTGACAACCGCGCTGTCAGTTGAACAAACGAAGACTGTTGCGCGATTGACGCTTTGTATGCGATTTTAACGCCCTATAGGTGCGGACACTTTTTAGCGCGAACCCGATGTCCATTTGTTAGTAAACCAATGTACATATTTGTGTGTAATTGTAACAAACTAGTGGAGTAATTTCACATAAAAAACAATTGAATATCAATTCAACAAAAATTTAACGTTTCACGTTAAACGGTTTCGACACAGTTTTAGCTGATTTTTTATTCGATTTCGACAAAACCTTTGTATTTCGATATGAAGTTTGTAAGATGACATTACGATTCCGTTTAATCCTATTTAAGTTTGAAAAATAAATATACGTGATTTAGAGCCGAAAAACATAATTTCATTTCAGTTTGTACTGCGCTCCTTATCAGAACTAACGTAATCGACATTTTAAGCGAAATTGTCTTATTAACATTTCGCACTGCTATTACAATAGTATTGTAACTCAAAATATGTGAACGTAAAATTGGGATCTCTACACGTCAATACAACCGTCGTTAGAATGTTATGAGAAACAATTAAAATATATTTACTTAACTCTAAATGAGATAAACTTATTGTGAGGTAGTTCTGGACAAAACAGCCCTTACCCAAAAATATAAATTATTTACCCTTTTATTTATAAACACGTATTTGGCAAGTAGGAAATTTCTCGGACGTCCGTAATAAACTATAATCTATATATAAATTTAAATAATCTTTCACAGTGAGTGATTTGTTATTCGTCGATTCAGAAAAAAATACGCTTTTTGAGTTAATACACTATCCTATTAACAGTGCAATATCTGGAATCAGCAAAATCAGATCTACAAACCCCTGTAAGCGTTTTTTTATATCTTATTTAGTAGTTTTGTTGTTCAGCAAAAAGAAAAGCTTCAAGTGCCAATTTCGAAAGTTACCAAAATGCATTTGCGTTAGTTCTGAGAAGAAGGGTAGTATAACTAACGCAAAAACCTTTGACCTAGGTATAGGATTTTCCGTTTTTTGATGGTAATTTAGAAATGAGTGTTGGATTTTTGCTCTGAACATTATTTATTCATATCTTTTTGTGTATTACTAAAACGCTGGGGAAATTTGTACAAACTTTCATACCACGTTTTACGCTCTTTAAGAGATATTTTTTTAATAACGTAAAAACATGTTCCATTTTTTGCTGTGAAGAGTGTTCAAACCAAGTTCCAGGAATGAGATTTTTCCTTAAACATATATTTTCTTTTATTAAAAATTTACTTGCAAGAAACACATTTTCATGCATTACTTAATTTACCTAATATGAATAATTCAAATCACGTCTCTCTCTCTTACTTCAGTGGCATAGTATTTCCAGAGAATAGTTTTGTGGTTTGATTGTGTTCTTCACCCCCTTGTGGGGGAATCGACACGGAATCGCATTACGGTCAGGAAAAGCTGTATGTCAATGTAATAAGCGTCAAAAACGGGAGCGTCAGCGAAAGCGAAACGACGATGTTTTTTTTACAAGAATACAAGATATTTATTCGCTGACTATTGTAATTAACATTACAGGTCTTATAGTATATTATATTAGACCGTACATTTCACCATAATCTTAGCATGCGAAAATGTTACACCACTCTTTTTTCATTTTTAATGTAGCTTGCATTAAAGTTAAATTAATACAATATCATAAACAAACAACAACAAATGGAATTTAACCGGAAAATAGGAAGTCAAAAATATAACATACAATCATTGACTTACAAATAAATGGACGACGGGTCTAATACAAAAAGCACGAAAAAAATGTCTCAAGTCAACCTATTTAAATGTAGTGACATGTAAAGGAATATGAAAAAGCTAAAACGTTGAATTTAAATTGTAATGTCATCGCAGTACTGTCTAATTTTGCTTGCTTCGCTGTCAGAAGAAACAAACGAAGACTAAAGCGTGAATGACGCTCTGTATACGATTTTAACGCCCTATAAGTTCGGACACTTTTTAGCGCGGACCCGACGTCCATATAATTGTAAGTCAATGCATACAATAGTTAAATTTTTTTCTAAGATATCTAGTTTTGACTATATTAAAGTTGCTTAGATTTTGTTTGACATAGACAGAGGCCTCGTAAATATACATCGTTGGTAGGGTTAATTAATATCTTTAGTTTCCTAATGTAAGGTACACAACTCTCTTGTTGACCCACACCAAACATGGCCCTGATACATTTCTTCTGGGTTTTAAATAGTGGCATAATGTGTTGCAGCAGCATTTCCCCAGAGTTCCTACTCTAAATGGATTACTATCCACATCGCAAACTAGAGGCTACATAAGCGTGATAAGCGCAAAGAACAGTTTTTTGTGATGTTATTCTTGTCAGTTTTTTTAAAAAACATATACGTATTTACTAAGTTTAGTATTTAAGTTATTGATATGCGTCTTCGAGTTCAAATGACTACCAAGAGTAATGCCCAAAAATTTTGTTTCATTAACTTGAACAACTTTTTGTCCATCGTTCTCGTTGTAATTGCATGGATATAATGCTTTTCTGACCAGTTTGCGAGTGATTCTATACGGGCATTCCAATGAAGTGATTTATTATTCAAACTTGACACAATTATTATGTCATATTAACAAAGCGTTAATCAGATTTTATTTCGTTTTCAGGGAATTTACAGACATCGTGTCTAATTATTACTTTAAGGAAGCTTATATAAGGACTCATATGAAAATGACGCCTTACTTCATGGGACTTCTTACGGGGTATATTTTACATAGGATACAGACTGAAAAGTGAGTATTTTCTTGTATTTAATTACGATTTCTTTCTATAGGAAAATTTTCTTTATAAAAGTTGTAATTTGGTGGAAGATAGCAGGAACTAGAAATAGTGGAAGAACAAGAATAGTGTAAAGTGAGCAAATAAAGACGATCAGTTTAACATTCTTCTTTAGTTTAAATAAATCTTCAATATTATTCTGGTTAGTGAGTTAATGAAAAATATAATATTATGTTGATATATATATATATATATATATTAGCTTAATTATATATGAGCTTAAGATAGCTCTATAGCTGTCTTAAGCTACTGGAATTTCTCATGTATCACTGAACAAAGCGCGGTGCTATTTCTGCTTTGAGAAGCATGTAAGAAGAAGTAATGAGAAAAGTATTATTTATTTTCAGCTACCAACTTTCCAAGTTAATGAAAGTCTTCGGCTGGACTACGAGCATAGTGTTGGGCACAGTGACGACTTTCTCCATCAGTTTGTTCTATCAGGAGTGGTATCAGTACAATACCATAGAGGCTGCTGCGTACATTTCATTGCATAAGCTCACGTGGGGTATCGCTAACGGTTGGCTGATAATTGCCTGTGTTACTGGTAATGGAGGTATGTACGAGTATTTTGAGGTTGCGCCTCATTTACAATGAAAAAAAAAGTAATTTTAGTGGATATACCGCTTATTGAATATAGCTGTACTTGGACAAATTTGAATAAATACACTTGTTACAACTCCATTTAATATTTATTATATGTAATTCTCGTTTGTTATATATTCATTCACGTTTCAAAAGATCATTTTGTATAAAACTCTTTTTACATAAAAATCATTTTATATAAATTATTGTCATTTTAGATAGTTTCTACACATTTTTTATAACTAATGATTTTGCACCGTGTTACTTGTCAGTCCGATACTAGAGTGTAATTTTAAAACTGGGGTGCGGACGAAGAGTAGTCCTCGCCAAACAAATCAACAAATCTTAAAATAATGTACACACGCTAGCACATCAAGCTACAATGACGTATCTTGTTCCATTGCAATGGAGGCGATTTTCGAACAAAAATGTGTAGTCTGATGTGCCGTTGTCCGTACTTTCAATAGAGATTTGATTATTTTAAAGCGTAGTTAAGGATGTAGCATGATTATTTAGAAATTTTAGCCATTATGATGAAAGGATTCAGCGATTGTTGCCCAAGGTGCAGCAGGTGTATAAGAAAGAAATGGACGATTCGTGCTTACGAGAGACTTCTTTCGTGCACCCATTTCCAAGTAATATTTTCATCCATTCCTGTCTTGCCAAAGTTATATTTGTCGGAGAACAAACATATAGCAATGAAACTATACTATGCACATTAGGACCTACCATAAACAACTGTGAAACTGACTACTTGGGTTCAACAAGTAATAGAGGTTGCTGGTTTCTGACACCGAAATATGCCATTCTGTCATCTGAATCTACCTTATAGTAATAGCGGGACATGTTTTCAGGTCTTTTCACAAAACTCCTGACATGGAAATTTTTAGTGCCGTTATCGAGACTTACATACTGTGCGTACTTAGTAAACGGTATTGTGGAATTGTACTACGTTGGACAACTGAGACATCCGCTGCACGTCACGTTCTTCACTGTGGTACGTATTCAGATATTTTGAGAGTGAATGGGTTGATAAGGTAGTAGCAAAAGCCTAGCTCCGAGAATACAATGTCAAGGTTCCAACTATGGACTCGTACGCGTCTGTTTTTGAATCCGTATTCCACTTGACGTGTCAAGTGGCACGCCATGAAGCTTTTACAATGATAAAAAAGGTGAACGACCTTTGAATGGTCAACGTAAACTGCATTGAACTTGTTTATGTGAGCGGTTCAGACCGTTGCCCATCGTACCAACAGAGGCCTAGAGTTGAAATTAAATCCGTTTACTTAACGTAATGTCTGAAGCAGTTTTCTTGGTGAACAATGTCCAAAGAAGGATGACGAAAGCTGATCCAATAATTATAAAATCAATGAAGATTGGTTCATGTACTTTGTTAGTATAATTTTGCGTTAAAGTTTATGGCCATTTATTAATATATTTTTTGTGTGTGTTTAGAAGTCGGGAATACAGAAATTGCAAAACAATGTATTTTAGAATAGAAGTAAGAACACATTGATTCAGTTCGACTATTATTTAGGTAACCTTCTTGTACGTACGTTTCATGTTAAGCATGATTATTTACCTAAGTAAAGTATTGGGTATTTTAAAGTACACACATAAAACATTATAGCTATAAAATACCTAATTAAATAATCACTTAAACAGTAATGGCATAAAGTCATAATCTCAGTACAGAGTACTAAAAAAACCGACCTCAAAAGTACGTGGAATTACATATAATTACCGAGTTTTCGGTTACCGAAAAGTGCGCAAATCCGGATTCATCCCCTAGTTCGCCACTATACGGGACTTGACTCAGGAGATAATAAAAATCGGTCACTACTCAAAGTATATTGAGAGAGAAAAACGCTTGAATTAAAGAATACCTAAACAACGATTAAAATAATTGCTCATTATACTAAAATTTATGGACTATTTGTAAAAATGAATCTTCATGCGTGAACAGCCACCCTTAGAAGTGGATGATTTTCTTCAGAATTAAATGGGACCACTATGGAGGTACCCTCTTTCCAAAAGAAAAAGAATTATGAAAATTGCTTCACAAATACCGGAGTTATCGCGTAACATACATACATAAAAAACATACAGTTGAATTGAGAACCTAATCTTTGTTTTGAAGTCGGTTAAAGAATAAAACACAATGTGACAAAAATGTTTAGACAATATTTAAATCACAGATAACGAAAGTTAGCAAAGGAACGTTTCGACAAGATGCCTCTTGCCACTATCAATGTCACATTGATATTGAGAACAGTGTGACAATTTGTGGCAGATTTCTGCCATTTGGGCAGATTTAACTTTTATTCATTTTCATTGCTGCAGAACATGATATGAGATGATGATGAGAACATGAACACATTTAATATAACTTTTAAATGTGGCAGAGTTTGGCAGATTTGGGAATATTCAGCAAGTTCTTTAGTATTTTTGGGAACAAGCTGAAAACTTGTTGTTTTCTGCTACTACGAACTTACATCTGAAGCGAAATACAATGTTATAAACCAGAGGTTCCCAGTCTTTCTTTCTCTTCTTTTTTCTCTCATATACATTTCCCCTGCAGATACATTTCTACCATATTCCCGAAACTCGACAAAAAATGTGAAGATTAGATCTAACTATGGAAATTTGGAACGCAAATTGCGGAGTTCCAACCACAAATGAATAATTTCCGAAAAAAAGTGAGAATTTAATTGATTGTGCTGTGAGTGGATGTCAAAAAAGTAAAGACACGTACTTAATATGGAATATGCAAGTTTTTACAAGTAACAGTCGCAGAGCTTCTTAAAATATTATCTGCCTGCATTGATAGATGAAGTCAAGCCAACATTTTAGTTCTTCACTATCGAAAGCAGATAAATTTTCATAGACCCCGCTTACGAATTGTGAACCCCCATTTTTTTGTCACGCTTACGTAGACCCCCGTCGAGTCTCAGGGGGTCCAACTGGACCACTTTGGGAACTAAGGTTATAAACATAACCTATATCAACTTCATAACCCCAGCTTCTACAGGCTGTACTCAATTAGCTTTTTGATGCTTTGATAATGAATCACAAGTCTTGATAGGTCTTTTTATTACACGTCGTCGAAAGCACTGGGTCACAAAATACATGGAAAGTCGCCATCCTTCTTTCCGATAATGGGTTGATAGTAGCAGTGGAGCTTCTTGTGAAAGAGTTCGGCCAAGAAAGTACTGCCACCATTATCTATTATTGCCGTCAAGTAATGATCAGAGCATTACTGCGTTCGGTTTTGAAGGATGACGGGCGCTGTGGCAGTGTCCCTCGGATCTTTGCGATTCAAAGCTTTGAGTGGTACATGAACTGTTATGGATAAGCGTGTCGCTTACCACCATGCGTACGACTTGTTCTTTCCATCACGTGATATCGTAAAAACGATATAGATATAGTTCAGTTATTTTAGTTTAATGATTTTTAATGGAATCTGTTTTCTTTCCTAGTTGGCAAATGCAATTTCACATTTGATGTTGACATTTACGCTTGCCATGCTGCTGTGTTTGACCTTCGAGTCTCCTATACACGGCATTGAAAAAATATTGCTTGCAAAATTCGGTAAGTACAATTTATAAAAATGAGATGAAAACAGTTACACACTTTATATATGTCTGCTGTAAATCACCATACTAATATTTAATGAAATTTACAGTTCGCCCAGCTCAATCCGACAACGCAAGAAGACAAGTGTCTTTAGAGTCCTCCAGAAATACTAGTCAATCAAAATTAGACACGTAGCGGATAAAAAGACTAAGTAAAAAACTTAGATTAATCAGTTAGCAGCATGTGACTGTGTGAATGGGAAGTGGGTCAACGCGAGTCCGTAAAAGGAATTTTGTGAAGTCCTCCATTTGTGTACAGTATATATGACCAATTCAGGTTCCAAGGTAAATATTATTTGCAAAACTACATTTATCACTTTCGTCGTCGATCGCTGTTGACTGTTTTTGCCAATTTTTGAAGGATATATATAATATAACACCTTAATCTTTATACGCATGTTTTGAAGCCTTTCTAATTTATTGAGTAGGCTGATTACCAAATCCATGTAGCAATGCCTCAATAAGTTGCTAACCTCGGCAATGTGCGACTCCCACGTAATAGACACCGATCAAAAATAACCCCCCGGTTCTTGACTGTACCCATATAAGGAATTTGGATACTGTCAAAACCCACACGTGACAAGGAATTGCGATTGAAACTGAATGTTAATAAAATGCTGCAAATAACACATTGTGTCAGGGCTTAACGTTTAGACCAAAAGATTGGCTCCAGCAAAGAATAGATTTCCAAAAGGTCAACATTAGTAACACCGATGGTAAATGGTAATCGTAAAGAGGTAACACAAAAACTTGGAGGTTGTCAGTACAAAAATGATAGAAAGAAGTGTGAGGGAGTTGATAAAGATAGAAAATAAGAAAGCAGAAAGGACGCCACCTTGCGGAACTCCGGCAGAGATATCAACGCAGTATGTTAGCAAAGAATTTTCATAACTAATTCGTGCCCGTCGTTTACAAAGTTAGCTTCAAAATTAATTAATAATTACTGGAGATATGTTAAGAAAACGTATATTTCCATTAGTAGGCCAAAGTCATCGCGATCGAAAGCATTATGGAAGTTGAGGAGTGTTTGTACTTACATATATTATCTGTGGTTGGAACAGTACAATTGTTGATTTTTCAGACTCATATAGATGTCGTCATTAATTTTCGTAAGTGTAGTAGTCATACTATGACCGATGCGAAAACCGGACTGGATAAAATTGTCTAGGAATTAAATGAACTGATGGAGACTAAGCTTATCTTATACTTTCGACAGGGAAAATGAATTTGAATAGGACGGTAGTCTGGCAGGGTACTTGGTTAGGATTATTTTATTAAACGGGATGATATAAGCATCTTATCAGGTAGTGATGAAGAAACAGGTAGAAACACATGTGACATGTAATATATGACTACGAATGTGAATATGAACAGATATAGTAAGGACACTAAGACTAATACAATCTCTATGTACAGTATTGTAGGTGATAATAGTCAGTAAATTGATTGATAAGAAAGGAGGAACAGTAAAGAGTTGGGAATTAAGAAAGATACTATACAATGTAGTATTTGATTCTGTAGTGTACGACAAAGGCTCCATAATTTTTGATTAAAAGGATTACTAAATAGAAAAACAAACGAGTCAGATATTACGCTCAGTATGGTTCTTCAGAAAATTTAAACTGTAATAAGCCCTTTTTATTCAAACCAAGTGAAGTTAAACCTAAAATACGTTGTGATGTTAAAACCAAAATTTATTGAAACTCTCTTCGTGTGAAGTACTGAGAACTGAGAGGTCTTGGTTGTTTGCATATGTCATTCAATGTAAGCCTTGCTTATGTCGTCATAAGATAGCGTAATCCCCATCATGGTGTCAAACGCTAAATCAATCCAAATTTCCACCAAGATACGTGACATTTTTAGTGTAGTAAACAGGAAAACCGTGTTTGTGTTAAATTACGGTTTATGCTGTCGACAATACCCCACTTTCATCTACATGAATATTAGATATAACTAGCTAAGATGTAACAGAAACCCAATTGTTTCAATTTGCTTAGGAATTGAGATTGTGTACTTGCGGTTAGTTTGAATATGTGTCTGTTGAATACGTGATTTGTATAAATATATGATTGTAATAGGCTATTTGGTAATGTAAACGAAATGTATATAATAATGTTTTTCACACACGTGACACAGTTTTTTTAAGATCGTAAAATTATAATTTTTAGATAAGTTTTTTTATAAACTTAGGAAACATTAAAATAACAACATTTTATAAAATGAAACTATTTTATTGGGACCCTTTACAGAGCCCATGTCAATCGTGAACATGGGCCCTGTAAAGGGTCCGAAACGTTGGCTTATTTGAAGAAACATATACCTATATGCGACTTAGAGCTGCAAAAATAGTTTCATTTCCTATAAAAAAAAGTCAAGTGGCCAATTAGTATAAGTTTAAGTTAGACTAAATATTCGTCAGCTTTAAAAGCGTATTTGTTATTGTTGTATGTGATAATATGACCATATCCCTAAGATTTAGTTTATCATTTATTAGTGTATGTAAAAATAGCCTTAGAATTATTATAAAGGCATATAAATTGTAGGGTGTATTATAGAGGAAATTTCGTCGTATGAAATTGTAAATGTTTTAATGAATTATCGAATTTAATTTTATTCTGTAAAGTTACTCAGCCATCAAAAGTTAACATTCTCATTAATAATCGTATTTCTTGAATTAAACTCATTAATTGAACAAACTTAACACCAACTATCCTAAACGCATTACGACGGCCTGAACAAAAATTTAATACTGAAGAAGTTTAATACTGAGAAGATTCCAGAGTTGCATTGTATCTGGACCATTCTTATTTGTGCAATTTTATTTTGTGCATATATATTAAAAAATTATATACTTGTATTACTTAGTCAATTCCTATTTAAAATTAATCGTAGTAGTTTATATTAGATTTTTATTTTTATTTTATTTATATTTACACAATATAAATATTTATTTAAATCATCATTAAGAAAGTGACGAAAATGTCACTTCCATGTCGTATGCAAAGTCCATTTACAATGATTCAAATTAAAACTAAATATCTGTAATAAATAAACCAATCTATATTATTTTACGATAATACATAGAATAAACTTTCTAAAAAACACTAAATATATATACAACATAAATAAAATAATGGATTAAAAATATTTCATAACGTTTCTGCATGAAAAAATTGTCACCTCCATGCATAAACTTATTGAACGCAGCCATAATTTATTAAATCAGTCAACACTAGTCTGAACAATTACAGACAACAAACACAATGCCATCTTGAAAGTTTTTGACAGTTTGCAACTTCCGGGATAAAAGTTTTGGCTCAATGATCTATAAGGTGCGATTTTTCAAAAAATAGCCTGCTAATGCCATGGAGGTGACACAATTTCCATGGATTTGAGTCACTCCGTGGAGGCGTTTTTTCTTTTTTTTTATGAAAACTACAGTGTTATCACTGTAGCTAAGTTTTTAAGTAAAACATAGTGTAGGATACGGTTCCTTTAATTTGAGACTACTTTGGATCATATCAGAAAACATTGTTTTTTTTATTACTTTAAGTCGTTTTTGAGAATGGCCCATCTACAACACGGCAGTTGCGATGGAATATGAATACAAACATCCTTACATATATTTTAATGTTTGATTTTTTGACTGATGTTATTTTATTGGACTGTTATAGTGTACAAACTATTGTATGAGTGAATACTACGACAACTTTCTATGCCGCAAACTATTCTTCTAAAAAACGTACTTGTAACACCTTTATAACTTGTGTATCACTATAAAATATATTATTAAATATATATTTACAATCATGTGTAAAACAGTGAATTGGTGGAGGGAGGAGGTTAATTCTACGAACGAAATTAGTCCATAACTGTTTTATGCTTAATTAGAGTTATAAAAGTTCACATAATTATACGTAATTAGTTTTATGTAGTTCATATAATATTCATGTGATAAAAGCACATTTGACGTATGATCACATGTGGCTTTATTATTCCAAGGTACGATATGTATTGTGATGAATAAATATTGCTCAATTATACGGTAAAGTTATACCACTTATGCTTAAAGTCCGTCGTGCTTAGAAAGCATATTTTTTATTTTAATAATAAAAAATTTAAATATTTTTACATAGTGTCTTATTATTTACCTGGAGCACGTTTATTACTGAATTTTACCGTAATTAAATTCTTGAAATTGTCGCGTTTAAGTGAAAATATTATCAAAAATACTAAAATTCTTTTCTTTCTTTATTTACTTAGGATAACCAACAAGCCATACACTTAATAATAGGGGTTAAAGTATGAAATTGCCGATTTGTACTGAAAATCTGAATTGTTTATTTTTTAAATTTTTAACAAATTTATTTAATCAAAATAGTTGCCATTATTATCTATACATTGCTGCCATCTAATGGGAAGGTTATTAATGCCTTTGCGATAGAACTCCGACGTTCTAGACTGCACAAACTGTGTGAAAGCATTTTGTACTGCCTCCTGGGAAGAAAACTTCTTGTCACGTAGATAATTATCCAAATCACGAAAAAAATGGTAGTCCGTTGGAGCAAGGTCTGGTGAATACGGAGGATGACGAATGGTTTCTAACTGCAGTTCCTGAAGGGTCAAAATGGTTTCTCGTGCTGTGTGAGGTCTCGCGTTGTCGTGGAGCAATAATGGTGAAGATCGATTCATGAGTCGGGGCTGTTTTACAGCTAGTTTTGTCAACATGGTTCGGAGTTCGGCACAATAGACACCTGCCGTTATTGCTTGACCAGATCGGAGAAAACTATAGTGAATAACACCATGCTGAGACCACCAAACAGTTACCATTACCTTTTTATTGGTAAGTTTTGCTTTAGGACACTGTTGTGGCATTTGACCTGGGGTCAGCCATTGCATTTTTCTTTTCCGGTTATCATAAAGAATCCACTTTTCATCACATGTTACAATTCGATCCAATATTCCTTCATTTCTGTACCGGTTCAACAAGGCAACACAAGTTTCAACACGCGTTTCTTTCTGCAGATCAGTCAAATCATGAGGCACCCATTTTTCGTATTTTTTTATTTTTTTGATTTGACGCAAGTGAGTCAATATTGTGGGTAAGGTAACGTTAAACCATGCCGCTAATTCCTGGGTAGTTTGACTAGGATCGGCTTCCACTATCTCTCTTAATTCATCGTTATTCACCTGTGTGGGCGGTCTTCCTCGTGGCTCGTTCTTTAAGTCGAAATTTCCATCACGAAAGCGTTTAAACCAAAATCGCACGGTGCGTTCATTAGTAGACCCCTCTCCAAACGCAGCATTGATATTGCGGGCTGTTTCTGCCGCGTTAGTTCCGCGTCGGAACTCGTATTCAAAAATCACTCGAATTTTCGCAGTATCCATCTTTCTTGTCTAAATTGAATAACAAAAACAATTGAAAGTCGATATTCAAATGTTTCAAATTTAAAAAAAAAAAAATCACAGAAACCATTTGAAAAAAGTTTCATTCGAAAACCTCAAACCACGAAGATTCTATGAAAATTCAAAGAACCTATTGCAATAAAACGGCAATTTCATACTTTAACCCCTATACATACAATTTTGATTATACAATTCAAACGGGGTAATGCTAAATAAAGTGCTGACTCAATTAAAAGTTGCCACCACATGCAACACAGTAAAACAAAGATAATTATTTATATACATAATATATACAGTTATTCACACTTTTAATTTATATATAACATGTAGTACAATATATTTGTTTAATACCAAATATAGAAAGATAAACATTACTAATAGGAAGAACAGACACAGTATGACATCACAGAGTATGACAAATGCCAAACAAAACGTTTTTACACCCTCTCAATATGCAATGAGTGTGTAGCAAAATATGGCCTCCAAACGACACTATAGTAATCCAGGAGGCTACGAACCAGAGCATTACATATTACATAGTAAAATTTTTGTAGAGCACTTGCGAAACCCCTTACCATTTCTCAACACAAAACCTAATATTTATGAGGCCTTCCTAACAACTGCATCTATCCTTAAATGTAAGCTTGCGGTCGAAGTAGACTCCCAGATCACGAACTTTGTCAACCTCATTCAGTGGCTCATCAGATTACAGTATACTGTGAAGATACACACCTCAGTCTCCTAGACAAAGTTATATATAAACATATCGAGTTCTTAGGTTTTCGCGATTGTTACACATAGGAAATGAAACTATTTTTCCGGATTTAAATCGCGTATATTTGTTTTGTTGTCACGGTTGAGTCAACCGTGACCATGGGACCTGTAAAGGGCCCGAAACGTCGGTTTGTTTAAAAAAACAAATATACGCGATTTAAATCCGGAAAAATAGTTTCATTTCCTATATATATAAACACTTCTTAATATTTAAGCACATGTTATTATCGATACACTATTTAGACAATCTATCAAGGTCAGACTGCAGGAAAGACACGTCACGCTCAGATTTTATTATTTATTTATTATATCATATCCACAGAGTTCAAGATCGCATGAAATACAATATGAAACATATAAACATAAAAAAAGAAACTACCAGTATTATATTACTGGTACTTCTTATATGATTATAAATTCAAAAACACTAATAATATAAGTAATCAAAACCAAATAGGAACGAAAATTAAAAGGGACCGCTCTGAACCGTACCCGGCTCAAACGTCCCCATCACACTAGCCGCTCAGATTCAATTATTCTACCAAATTTTAAATCATCAGCATCATAAACGGTGTAGATTGAATAAAGCACTGTCGAATGTCACATTACATTTTCCCACTGATCATTAATAACTTCATAATTGGCACGACTAAAATTACGACTATCGTTAATATTATTTACATTAAAAGATTTCTGTATTAGTGAAGTTATTCGCACCTCTAGTGGAGGATGAAACTTATCAACATTGCATAGTACATCACCAGCCACACCAATCGTGACGTTGCAAAATGTGCGTTCAGAAAGAACCAAGTCTAATAGTGTACCATAATAATTTAGCACATCATTATATTGTCTCAAATTGTTTAAGTCCATAATCAATTAAAGCGCTACTAAGACCTAGATAGTTGACCCCGCACACGAGTCTCTACAGATTTCCAATTTATATTGGTCACGTTAAAATCTCCCAAAATGCAGGAAGTTATTCCCTCATCGCAACAATCTAAGTTCGCATTGCAACTTGCTATGAAGTTATACAGAATAGATAAACATGAGGGAGGCGGTAGATAGATCACACAAAAAGCTACGCGTTTAACGGTTTTGCTAACAATAAAATCCACAATGATCCAGAGATCCTCAAATTCGCTTTCCCAGTTAATCAATCACTCTGAGTTAATTTTATTCGACACTGCAATCAAAATACCACCACCATCCTTCTTATCTTGAAGACCGGTTGACTTTTTGTCTCTTCTATATACTACGTACCGATCATCAAACAGCTCGTGAGAAAGAACTTTATTGTTCAACCATGTTTCGGACAACACAATAATTTCATAATCACTACATGCTAGATTGCGAAAGAAACAATGTGTTTTAGTGCGTAAACCTCGAACATTTTGGTAATACACTTTTATTGAATGGAATTTAATTAATTAAATCTAAATTACTGGCAACAATATTAGTAAATAATGAATAAAATGTAACAATTAAATTAATTTATTTAAGAATTCCATATGTTTTATGACAATATATTCAGGAGCATCATTTTTTCTAACAATTTTTTTTCCATTTCTAATCCTCACGTAAGCATAACCTTTTTCTTTGACTGCGATTCTTGTGGCTGCATGAAGGGTTTTATTACTGGGGGAAAGATGTTCCATGACAAATATTGGTGTAATATTATGATTGAATCC